TTCCTATCGCTGACTGTTGAAATATTTTATGGCATGCTTTCAATCTTTCCATGCAGCTTCTTGCATGCTCTATTGTCAGATCTCTCAGGCCCATATCTAGGGCATACTGACAATCTTCAAACCTTTTGTTTAGGGTTATGCAAAGTACGTTGAATGGAGTGCAACCACGTTGGAAGATGATGTGAAGCGGCGGCTGAAGACTGCAGAGCTTCAAGCGAAAAAAAGCAAGTTGAGGATTTGGACAAACTACACACCCCCTCCTACAAATTCAAAAGCAATTCATAACCAGAATTTCACTGGAAAGGTAGTATGTAATGTTAGTTATGGTTATGTTTGTTTATCACAACATAATGATTTGTCCTATAATATATACTCATGTAATTGATTTTTCTTTCTTCCAGGTTGTGGAGGTTGTAAGCGGGGACTGCGTGATTGTTGCTGATGATTCTGTTCCATTTGGCAGTCCACTAGCAGAGAGGCGAGTTAATCTTTCAAGTATTAGGTGTCCGAAAATGGGCAATCCTCGTAGGGAAGAAAAGCCGGCTCCATATGCCCGTGAAGCCAAAGAGTTCCTGAGAACACGCCTTATTGGACGTCAAGTATGAGATTAGTTTTGAGTCACTGTTTTCTTCATCATAGAAGTCTCTCTTTTAATTTCAAATAATTTCAATATATTTCCATTTGGCATGTTTTGTAGGTAAATGTTCAAATGGAGTATTCAAGGAAGGTCGTCCCTGGAGAGGGAGCTGCACCTACTTCTGGACCTGCCGATTCAAGGGTAATGGATTTTGGAACAGTTTTCCTTGCATCTCCTACTAAGGCTGAGGGTGATGACGCCCCAGCACCTGCTTCATCTGCGCCTGCCAGTCAGCAGGCTGGTGTGAATGTTGCTGAGTTGGTGGTTTCACGTGGCTTTGGCACTGTTATTAGACATCGAGATTTTGAGGAGAGATCAAACTATTATGATGCCCTTATGTCAGCAGAAACACGTGCTACTGCTGGAAAGAAAGGAATACATTCTACCAAGGAACCTCCAGTCATGCACATTACAGACTTGACAGTGGTGAGTAATAAAATAATTCAATCATTCCTTACTTAATTGATGTGTCTAACTGTCAGTATACAATTTCACTCATTCCTTAATTGATGTCTCTAACAGGCATCAGCAAAGAAAGCCAGGGACTTCTTTCCATTCTTACAGAAAAGGAGGAAAATTCCTGCTGTTGTGGAATATGTCCTCAGTGGGCATCGTTTTAAATTATTGATTCCCAAGGAAACATGCAGCATTGCCTTCGCATTCTCTGGTGTCAGATGTCCTGGTCGTGAGGAGCCATATTCAGACGAAGCAATTGCGCTCATGAGGCGAAGAATTATGCAGAGAGATGTTGAGGTAATCTCATTTAACATTCAATTCTCGTTGCCACTTGGTTATGTTCTAGCTTTGATAAAATTATGTCTTTTATAGATTGAAGTCGAGACTGTTGATAGAACCGGGACCTTCTTGGGATCTTTATGGGAGTCAAAGACCAATGTGGCGGTTGCCCTTGTTGAAGCTGGCCTTGCAAAATTTCAAAATTCTTTTGGCGGTGAAATCCCTGATGGGCACCTTCTTGAAAAAGCTGAGGAATCTGCGAAAAAGAAGAAACTGAAAGTATGTGAAGCAACATACCTACATTATTACAGCTGTCTTCCTGGTAACTATGCTAATTTACATTCTTTTTTTTTTCTTTTTGCAGATCTGGGAGAACTATGTTGAAGGAGAGGAGGTTCCCAACGGTTCAGCCGTTGACAACACGAAACAGAAAGAAGTGCTAAAGGTACCTGGAATGCAATTGGATTTTATTATTTCCCATTCTATGTATTATAAAATGCTGAGGAATATCTATCATGTTCCTTACTTTCAGGTAGCGGTGACAGAGGTTTTGGGAAGCGGTAAATTTTATGTTCAGACAGTTGGGGATCAGAAAATTGCCTCAATTCAGCAACAGCTTGCATCTTTGAATCTTCAAGAAGCTCCCGTAATTGGTGCTTATAATCCTAAGAAGGGTGACATTGTCCTTGCTCAGTTTAGTGCAGATAATTCTTGGAACCGCGCAATGGTGAGTTACAACCTGAATCGTCAGTTTTATATTCCAATTGTAATAAATATTTTTAATCTTCTTGAGTTATTTTAGTCCATAAGCATACATTTTTTGCCTTTCATCCCTTCCCCATTTTGAAAATAATAAAAATGTTAATGTGTTGTGAATTTATATACGTCTGCTAGCAATTTTTCCAAGGAAAAGAGTGGCTGGATGATAAAAACATAGCAGATGATAATCATATTCCCTTGATGAACTCTTTAGATTTATCCCTAGGCTTTTATTTCCAGGAAAATTAATAATCTTATCATCTGGCATTAAGGTATAGGTTTCTCTATTTTCATAAAAGGCAAGTCTGATTATGTGACTTGTACACTGAGTCTTTATAATTTCAAATTATTTAATTTGTGTATTTCTTCATGCAAAGATTGTCAATGCACCTCGAGGAGCTGTGGAATCCCCTAAAGACAAGTTTGAAGTTTTCTACATGGATTATGGTAACCAAGAGGTTGTCCCTTACAGTCAGATACGGCCTCTTGACCCTTCGGTTTCCTCTGCACCCGGTCTTGCTCAATTATGCAGCCTTGCATACGTTAAAGTCCCGGGCTTGGAGGAGGACTTTGGTCAAGAAGCAGCAGAGTATTTAAGTGAGCACGCATTAAACAGTGCCAAAGAATTTAGGGCCATGATTGAGGAAAGGGATCTTTCAGGGGGAAAAGTTAAGGGTCAGGGAACCGGGCCAGTGCTTCTTGTGACTCTTGTCGCTGTGGATACTGAGATCAGCTTGAATGCCGCCATGCTTCAGGTTTGAGTTATAGCTCTTTTTTCTATTTAGTTTTGAATCTCATCTTTTAAATTCTTTCCTGCTGCCCATCACAATCCTACCCACACAAAATCTGCGTGTATATGTTGTCCCTCGGGGACATATATAATCAGTTTTACTCGGAAACAATCTGTTGTGAACTTATAAGTAATGTTTAATTTGTGATCAAGTATACAATAAAACATCGATGAATTCATGCTTCTGTCAAACAGAACCCTCATCATGTTATATAAATATGTAATGCTTGTCTGAATCTTTTTAAACTTCTTTTTTCGTAATGTCTTTCTGAATGTCATCTGTTTAAATTTGTGGAATTTTCAGGAAGGACTTGCAAGGCTAGAGAAAATGAAGAAACGTGAAACCAAGGAGAGGAAGACTGCAATCGAGAACTTGGAAAAGTTCCAGGAAGAAGCAAGGACTGATAGGCGGGGGATGTGGCGCTACGGAGACATCCAGTCCGATGATGAGGACGTTCCTCCGGTTAGGAAGGCCGCTGCTGGCAAGCGATGAATATACAGTAATAGTAATAGTGACGGAAGATAAGTTACAAAAACAACTCCGACGTAAGACGAGTTTAATTTATAGCATATATCATATGCTTTTAAGAGTAAGAGAGGGAAAGAAAGAAGAAAAAAGGAACGTTATGTTGTTGCAGTTAAAGTTTTGTTTCCGGTCTGCGGATTCTGTTGTTTTTTGGATGAGAGGGAACAATTTTTTTGCAAAATTCGAATAAGGTAAAACTCTACCCCATGTGTTGTTCAGTCTCTCTTTTGAGGCCAGCATAGACAATTTTGTGCGTCCACCAAAAGCTTAACATTTAGTTACTGTCTTGTATTTATAAATTTTTTTCGGTATACAACGGTACATTTCGAAAAAGCTTTCCTGCACCAAACATTAACTGTTTGGAGCTGTTTGTGTGTGTGGCTTCTATTATTGATTGACGTGTGTTAAGTTTATGATAATAAGGGTTAAGGAGTGTTAAGTTTATCAACATTTGTCAATGAGTGATAAAAGCCAGAGAGAGGCCATGACCCATAATACGGATTTGACTACTTCAACTGTTTACCGAATACGTTAGTGAGATTGGTTGATTGTGTTCGAATACAACGCTGTATTATCGGTGATATACCATCGAACAACCAATTGCTTCTATTTTTTTCCGGCGTCCTGTATTAATGAGAAGATGTTGCCAACGAGAAAATTTTCATTGACCGGAACACTGGATGGTACACTACATGTTTTTATACATGAAAAACTTTATTTTTTAAGTTAATAACTTTTTAACACACATGTCTCACTATTTGTATAGTGACACGTGATATCATTTCATGTTTCGGTCACACTAAAAAACTTCCTGTTACCAAGGCCTACCTTCTCTGATTGGGCCTACCTTCTCTGATTGGGAAAAGAATTCGTCGAGGAGAAATGAGTTTGGGAATCCCTAACTCGCTAGGAGGAAGATTTTTGGTGGCAGAAATGGTGGCTCTTGGTGATGCTTAAAATTTGCTACTCATAAATTTGGTCATTGATGCTATCTTGGGTTATTGAGTGTTATATAGGTCTCAAGAATTCCATCCTATAAAATGGCATAAACCGTTGTGAAATGCCTTAGTATAAGTTGGCCTTAGATTACTTGTAGGAAACTAGATATACGGACAATCGTAGTTGAACGTATAGCTAGTAATAAATAACATTTTTATGGTGTCCTTATTGAGATAAAATTCTGATTCCGCCACTAATTATGAATATGTTTACAACAACTTTCTTTTTTTTCTCCTTCATTTAGATGTGTTCGTAAGTAAACACTAAGCCCACTTTCCAAATCCTCAAAAATCGCAAAAGCTTTCTATCAAATAAATGATTTGATATTTAGCATCTAATCTCACATCTTCCTTTAAATTACCCTAATTACCCTAACAAACAACACCTAGAGGCCCCTTCTCTGAATCCCCTATTATTCCTCCTTGTCTTTCATCTGTCTGTCTTCCGTAGTTTAGGTTAAGAATAGATTAGAATATAGCTTAACTACGGATAAAGAAGAGATTAGAATATCGCTCGAACAAATAAAAACACGTACTATCATAGACTTGCAATCATCATGCTGTCAAAGAAATTCTTTTGTTTTGGTCATTAGAATATCGCTTAATAGATGCGTCATTTACACTCCTCATGCATTTTAAGTGTTTCAACATAAAGGGCTAAAAGAACAAAAGAAAAGAAAAATATTGCCAACATTCATGAATAACCTACAAAAACACACTAAGGCTCAAAATTTGAAGACGATGGAAGTGAAAACTTCCATCTGTGGCTTCCTCTTACTTCTCCGCCTCAGTTTTCACGCCTGGTCGTTGTCCTTCTGCGAGGAGCAGCGGCTCCTTCCTTCTCGCTCTCAGATGAAGTACCTTCATTCTCCTTCTCCTTCTCATCTTCCTTAGCTGCTGCTGAGCTGCTGCTTGAAGCAGCGGTGGCTCCGGTGGTTTTCTTCTCAACTCTTGCCTGCACAAAGAGAAAGCAACATTTAGCAACAACTACTTCATTAGCAACATCACAAGCAACAACTACTTCATTAGGAGTTTTTGAGGGCCTTCAACGCTCACAGGTTTCTTCCCGCCAAAGAGTAGCTTGACGAATACGGTGAAGATGATCACCACAATGGCAACAAGGATGCCAACGGTAAGATTTGGTTGTTGCTCTGCCTTCTCAATGAGATCCTGCACAAAACAAGCTTGGATTTTAGGGTGCGTTCCAGAAAATCACCTTCGAAACAGATAATAAACGAAAGACTGATGACTTACAATGATCTTAGACTTGTGGGAACTTAAAAAGGGAAGATCTGCGACTGTGTATAGGAGGTCAAATATTTTCTTCTGCAGGAAATAAAAACACGATTATCAGTAACTGTTCAAAGTATCCATCATATAAATTCCATTAGACAACAGCAAGAACTGATAAGATGCAAAATATTTACCTGGAAAGTAACAAGGAACCCTTCTGCGCCCTGAACATCTTCCTCTTCCTTCGCCTTCTCCTTCTCAACTTCAAATTTTGGTTTCCAAGCGGTCTCTCTGTATGCTTGTGCAACTTTCTCGTCTTTCGCTATCAAAATGTTGTCAAACAATATACCATCTTGCATTGTCCAGATCTCAATGCCAACAGCAGCGATAGACTCAAAGTTGGGTTTGTCAGCTTCAAAGTAGCTGGGGTTTGGAATCTCCTGAGGCTTCCAGATACCCTTGTAACTGGGGTTATCGATGAGTGGAGCATGCCATTTTCCCTTGTAAGCTGGGTTTCTCTTCATTGGCTTCTTCCATTCGCCACAACCAGGGGCTGTCACACACTTCGGGTTATCGATCCTTGGGGCTTCCCATTCACCATCCTCCTCATCATCCCAATCTTCTGGTTTTGTGGCATCGGGATCATCTATCTCCTCAGGCTCATCATCCAACCATCCTTCGGGTTTCTCTGCTTCTTCATCAACAATTTCCATTGGGGCGTCCTCATCCCAATCCTCTGGCTTAACGGCATTTGGGTCTGGAATTTTGGCTCTCTCATCCCAGTCCTCAGGCTTCTTATCCTCTGGATCAGGGATTGTCTTGGTAGGAAGAAGAGGTGGCATAAAATCATCAGCTGATAGGAAATTCGCCTTCTTCTTCTCTTCTCCATCAACCAGAATTACCAACTCGTTATTTGGTTTCAGAATGGCAGTGTACACATGAGTGAGTTTGTCAGATGGGACAGAGGGTGGAGTCGTCAAATGGTGTTCAACGTACTCTCCGCTCTTGGGGTTCTTGTGCTTGAAAATGAAGTGAACCTTGTTTGTGAGCCCACATTTGTCAGGTCCAAACATGATCGAATAAGGAGACTCATTGTCAAATATCTTAGGCTCCCATCCAGCCTCCTGGGGTCGAAGGTATTTCAGATAGGCACCACCACATTCAAGCCCGTTCTGGAGACGAGTCTCAAATTGGAGAACAATAGTTCCATCATTCAGACTCTCAGGCTTCTCAAGCTCCTTCACTATTGCGTACTTCTTGGCCTTCTCACTCACAAGAAGCCCGTAATCCTCATGACCCTCACTCTTCGAGTGGCTCCACACACCTAAAAGCAAATTAGACGTCACTATAAGCTTGCAACTCCAAATACGGCAACAAACATCCCAAAATCACGATCAATGAGCTAGAATTGTCAGATTTTATGAGCAGGGGACATAAAAATTTCGTATCTCATTCAAGTCCATTACGATTCACAAAAGCCATACGTTTGCACAACAAGATCCGATCACACAATAAACAATTCCATGAAAACAGAAGGATACATTACTGTAGTGATCTCACTCTACATGCTACATATTGTCCTCCAAAAGGTACAATATTTCGCATCATAGGGATTTGTACGGTTGCTTAATAGTTCACTTAGCTATTAGCTTAATAGTTTACCAAATGATTATTTCTGTCACAAAAACAATATTCTAACTAATCTAATCTACAGGGTGGGGGATTCGAACTCGGGCACAGCGTGCCGTGACCAACTGACCTAATCCGCATCTGCGTTAACACAATTATTCGAGTTTAACATACAAGGAAACCATTAAATACTCAGATCGATCGATCACACAACGATCCAATAACTACAGACACATACAAACATTCACATACACACAAATATATATTCCTTTTTCTCTTAAATTACAAAGAAAGAACGGACCTTGGTACTCTTCCTTGCTGGAAACGACCCATCGGCCTTCGAATGGGTTATCAAACGAGTCGTAAAACACCTAAATTCACAAATCAATCGAAATTCGTAAGAAATTGGGATTCAAATCTGAGATTCAAAGCATGAAATTGCAATTACAGATTGAGACGATGCAAATTACCGTATCGTCGGAAGCAGATAGCTGCTGAAATGCAAAGCAAGCTGCGAGCACCAGCAGAACACCAGCGCGAACCTTAACCATCTTTCTCTCTCTCCCTATCGCTCCTCCAAGTTCTTTGACAACTCCTCTCTCTGGGAAATAGAGTACTGAGACTTGTACATATAGATCTGTACAACACTGCCTTCGACTTGCTTCGGCCAATCAAATCACGTGCCACGTTGAATGGACCAATGATATCCGGCCACGTACAAATTTGACGCATCGTTGCGTCCCTTGCGAGTTTCGACCATTTTGGTTCTGCTCTTTCTCGTGACTGGGCCGGGTCAAGCCCAAATAATTATTCACCCGGCTAAATTGAATATCTCTCTTCTTATTAGGTTTTATCTTTTATTGTATGAATTTTTTTTTTTCGGAGACGGGGGATATAACATGAGGATTTTCAGAAGGCTATCCATTTTAGTACTACTTTCTTCTAAACTTACTTAACTTCGATGTTCTAATAGAATCCATTTTGTTTAAAGTGATAATATGATAACCAACTAAAGTAATGAAACGAGTAATGTCTTTTTAATCAAAGAAATTATACAAATAACGTTAGAGAGATTCAAGATCGCTCCATTTTTTATTATCCATAAAAAATTGTCACGTAGATTGTTATTTTCAACCACTTTAACTAATTACATGATTTGATGATTGGCATGCTAATCGTCATAATTAATGTAATAATTACATGCACTTTGCTTGGATCGCCTTTATACAAAGTGGTATTGGTTTGTTTTTGTTTTACAAGGCTACTAGCGGCGGCCGACGAGCCTGCAATGCGGCAATGTCACTTCGAATCCTCACACCAAAACCCAAACGGCCGTCTCTGTTAGAAATATGCAGCGGAGATCTCAACCCCAAGCGGTTTTACCAACTCGTCTCCCACGCCGTTACTTCCGGCGTCTTCTCCACCGACTCCTTCGTCTCCAGCAAGCTCCTCCTCCTCTCCCTCTCCCACCGCCGCCTCGAATTTTCTCGCTCCCTCTTCTCCCAGATTCAAAACCCAAATCTCTTCGCCTGCAACTTCATCTTCAAAGACTTCTCGCTCAGCTCCTGCCCGCAAGAAGCGCTCTTTCAATACAATCTCGTGCGACGTCGTTACCCTCATTTGCTTCCCGACAACTACTCCTTCCCTTTCCTCTTCAAGGCATGCGGTCGTCTCAGTCTCCCCCACAAGGGCCAAGAGCTTCACGCTTTTACAGTCGCGCTCGGGCTCCAAACCGACGTCTTCGTCCAAAACGGCCTTGTTTCGATGTACTCCGAGTGCGGATTGCTTCACTCTGCTCGTAAAGTTTTCGACTTTCTTCCCGTTTCAGTTCGCGACGTGGTCTCTTGGAACAGCATTGTTTCTGGGTATGTGCAGAGCAATCGGAACCGGGATGCACTCCAGGTGTTTGAGGAAATGCTTGCATTTACGAGGCCCGATAATGTGACGTTGGTCAGCGCTTTCACTGCTTGTGGGAAGATGGGGTGTCTTCATTTGGGGTGGCAAATTCATGGGTTAGTGTTGGCAGGTGGGTTTGCATTGGATGTCTTCTTGGGTTCATCCTTGATCGACATGTATGCGAAATGTGGGCACATGGATGATGCTCGAAAGGTTTTTGAAAGAATTGAGCAGCGAAATGTAGTGTGTTGGACTTCTATGATCGCCGGTTATGCTCAGTCACGTTCCTTCAAGGAGGCCATTAAATTATTTAGGGGAATGCAATTAGATGGAGTTGAAGCAGACGCAGCAATGGTTGCTTGTGTAATATCTGCGTGCGGGCATTCGGGTGCTTTAGATCATGGAAGATGGGTGCATACATACTGCGAAAGAAGCGTCTTTTACACCAACATCTCAGTGAAGAATGCCTTGATTGACATGTATTCGAAGTGCGGAGACATTATACGGGCTCTTGGAATTTTCCATGACATGAGGACAAGAGATGTTTTTACATGGACTGCCATGATAACTGGTCTTGCTCTCAACGGGGACTCTGTTGGAGCACTGGAAATGTTTTCACAAATGGAAGCGTCGAGTGATGTGAGGCCGAACGAGGTCACATTCCTCGGCGTGTTGTCTGCATGCAGTCATGGCGGGTTTGTGGATAAAGGTTTCACTATTTCAGAGCTATGACTAAAATTTATAAGCTCAGTCCTCGTATCGAACACTACGGATGCATGGTGGATCTTCTTGGTCGTGCTAATCTGTTAAACGAGGCTGAAAAGTTCATCAGAGATATGCCTATTCAACCTGATGTGGTTATATGGAGATCTCTGCTTTTCGCATGTAGGACTTATGGGGACATGGATTTGGGAGAGTTTGTTGCCAAAAGGATTGAGGAATTGGAACCAAGAAAGTTTGCATCGCGTGTTTTGTTGTCGAATCTATATGCTTCAGCATCAAGGTGGCATGATGTGAGCAGGATGAGGAAGGGTGTGGCTCTTCAGGGTGCCCGGAAGCAGCCGGATTGCTCTCTTATAGAAGTAGACGGTCTCGTTCAAGAATTCATTGTTGCAGATTGTTCGCATTGTCAAATTGATTCTATATACGAGACGGTTAGAGGAATGAACAAAGTCATACGATCAGAAAGATTTGATTAGAAAGTTTGGATGATACGCAATTCTTACTGGGAAAGTAGGCAACTGAACCGAAGGCTATTGTAGCATAGCTCAACAAATCTTCAAAAACCATGTCACCGCTAACCTCGAGGGTGAGGCATTTCCATCCTTCCTTATATAGGAGCTTCACGAAATGTTGTTCACGTGCCCAGAATTTATCAAAAGAAAATTAAGCTTTCCGCTAACTAGGATCCTTACTGTTTAGGATGACTCGAACAACTCGTGGGTACTTACAACGCCAACTCTTTGCTACTACCATTGTTTACCTGCTTCCTAAGGAGACGGTCCTACGGATAAAGGAGACTCTATGAACGAACTTTACTTCCTTCCTCTTCTCTCCTCGTTCTCCCTCTCCTGTGATCCTATCTTTTTAGATCCCTTTGTTTAGTTTAAGTCGTAATATTTAAAAATTTTAAATCGCAAACCAATCAAGTTTTTGAGTTTTAATAAAAATTGTTTTCAAAAAATATTTTAAGAAATGATTAAAATTTTCAAATAGAATACCAAAACAGACCTTAAGTTTTACACTAACTAGGATCTTTGCTCCTTTAGCATGACTCAAACAAGAATGTACACTCAACAAAGAATACACACCCATATTTATAAAATCCCGAACCTCTCCTGGGAGCGGATTACCCAAAAAAATCCTTGGTAACAATGAAAAAAAAGATATGAAAAACTATAGGAATCTGTATTGACGAGACCCAACGGTGAACAACTGCTCAAAAGAAAAACCGCCTGGAAGTTCGAGGACCTTCCTATTATTTGCATTCTCCTATTAGTCCCTATTAGGCTATTATTCTTATTCTGTCCGTTACTCATAACAGAGGAAAACAAATCTCTTTTACGATCACAATCCACAAGACTTTGTTTACATTAAACACTATTTGAAATAAAAAAATTTGTTGTACATCACACCAAACACTATTTTACGATTCTCGTTGTCTGACAGTCACATGAACAGATCAGATCAAGTCTTGTCCACGTCTTAGTAAAGTTGCAGTACAGTTGTAACTTGTAAGATTACAATACCTAGTATATACTTTGTTAAAAGTTACAGCAACAAACCATCATCCGTCACTAAAGCCATAAGCTAAAAAGATAAATACAAGAAATTCAAGCAAGTGAAAAACCCGAGAGCGGAAAAAATAAAAAAAAACGAAGAGCAGAACTAACTAAGCTTCGGGTTGGGCACGGATAGGGTCTACTCCGACGTCCTTGAGGGTCACGGTTTTCGAACGGGGCGGTTCGGCTTTGTGAGCGAAAACATCTTTCCGGATCGGATCCTTAACGGCGTGATTGTAGTCGTCAAACTCCTGAACATGCGCCACCTTCCTGAAAAACGAATTTTGAATGAACTTGTCAGACTCCTCCACCACGCGCTCCGGCTCCACCACCTCCGGCAGCGTCTCTCTCCGGTTCTTCTTCACGTAGACGTGGGGGTTGTACCTCAGGTGCTGCTTGGCGGTGTGGAGCCCCAGCGCCACCGACAGCGCTATCATCCCGACAGCAACGTAGACCGGCACAAAGTCGCCCCTCATGAACCTTTTGAAGTAGCTCTGTTGGGGATTTTCGGTGGCACCGGCAGCCGGGGCGTAGGGTTTCATCTTCGGAGAGGTCGCGGTTGCGTATCGGCGTAAGCCGGTCGACATTTGTTTCCAGTGGTTCTGTAGCATTTGATGCACTTATATTAAATCGCAAGTAAATCCTCAGAAAACAAAAACAAAAAAAAAGGTAAAGAAAAAAGAAGAAGATTTTACCATTGATCTGAAAGCCATGATCTTATGCAGAGAAACCAGACAAATGAAGTTTCAGTTTATCTTACTAATTTGCAGTAAGCGATTTTTTTACCTGAACTAACTGCTGCTGGATATTACTTATAGAGTCAGATGGATACCGAGAAGGGTAGAGAGTTCTGGAGCCACGTAACGCAATACAGAAGCGAATGGGACACGTGTGGAATTATAAAGTGCACAGTGTCAGAAGAACCCTCCTGAAACTGGCACCTCAATCTTTCTTGTACTTTACTGGAACAAAACTTACTAAATAAAGAATTAGGATTTTCTTCGGATGCGAGGATTTCAAGAATTCGCGAATCATGTTTGTTTATCGTATATTTTACACTAAAAAATTATTTAAAATATTTTTATTTAAAATTAAAAACAAACAGTATTTGATAAAAATTGACTACACGATATACAATAAACGTACACAATTTACGAATCTCTAAGATCCTCACCAAAAGAATCCAAAGTGGATCCTGTTGGCTAAATAAATATCATTTACTTTTACTCGACAGTAAAAACTTAATTACCTACGAACAATGTTACTGCGGCTACTCTTTAGTCAATGAGCCACCGTGAGACGAATTCCAAACTAATCCTATCATTAACTTGAGATATATTATAGTAATAGTCACAATTGACTTAGGATATTCTAAAACAATATTCATGTGATATTAAAATTAGTATCTTACGTGAATTAGGCATTGTTAGTGGTGCACCATAAACTAATTATACATTGTCATTGACTTGAGATAGCTACAATGACATTCATATTGTCAGAAAGTTTGTATATTACGTTAATCAAATGTCATTAGTGCATTAACCGTTTACATATTGTCATTAGTTTGAGATATGCTACAATAACATTCTCGTTATATAAAAGTAACCAATCACATATTGTCATTAGTTTGAGATATGCTACAATCACATTCTCGTTATATAAAAGTTAGTATCTAAGTGATTAGACAACGATAGCGACGATTTCCGAATCAATCACACACTGTCATTAGCTAGAGACACGCTACATTGACATCCTACTACATAGAAGTTCTTTCTCACAAAATTCAACTTCTGTTTAAGATTGTAAAAAATTAAAAATATGATTTACAAAAAAACAAAGATTGGTTACCGTAGCATGCTTCGAACTGATCTTTTTGAAGTCCATTCAAAACCAAATTATAGCTTCTGTCCTAGGATGCAAGCAATCCCCTGCAATGAACTCATGAGTGACTCCATCCAATCGACTTTCTAACATTCACAACATGGTTCCATTTTTCTGCAGTTGCATACTGAACACACTCCTCATCTTCAGGGTCCAACTCCGTCGCTTGCTCCGCCGCTTTCTTCGCCGTTTCAACATGGCCATGGATTCTGCAGCCTCCAAGCAAACCATCCCACTCAAACACAACGCCCCCCATCGGCATCTTCACAATCATCTCCATTGCTTCTTTGATCAAACCTGCTCTCGAAGCAGATTAGTCATGCACCCTTAATTCTTGAGCTCTCGAGGGACCCCGTAGACTGATTCCATTTGTTGAAGGAGAAGGTTGATGGGTGGATGCGGTTGAAGAGAGCGACGGCATAGCTGAGGGAGGCGGTTGCAGAGGCGGAGAAGGGTGGGAGGAGCGAGATGAAGGCATGGGGATGATGAAATCTGGAGTAGAGAGGGGTTGTTGATGGTGTGGAAATGGAGTTGGAGGAGCTGTTTTGGGGTTTTGCAGTGTTTGATTGCGGCGGCGATGGTGGTGGAACTGGCGGCGTTCATTCACTTCGATTTTCTCTGACAGTCATTATGTTTTCAGAAATCAAAAGGATCGAAGAACAAAAAGAAGGAAATGGCGGTAAATTAAGGAGGAGCTATTGAAAAAAAAATGCAAATATTGATTTTTATAAATAAAAAGAAAAAAGAAAACGTGGACGGCAGGATTCGAACCTGCGCGGGCAGAGCCCACATGATTTCTAGTCATGCCCGATAACCACTCCGGCACGTCCACCTTATTTGTAAGCTTGAATGCAAATATAGGTAATATTCTTTAATTGACAATAATCTTTTCTTACCTTTTTTGGGGCAAATTATACGACAACAAAACGATCCCCAGTACGAAAGTGAAGAAGGGAGTAATGCTATTCTTACTACAATTTTATATTATATTTTTTTACCATTTTAAGTGACAGATGAGTTGAATAAGTTACATCATTTAATTTCAATATTTTTATTAATTAAAACACTTAAATAATATTAGGTGAGAAAAAAAAATTCTCGTATACCACAATTATCATTTAATTAAAATCTTTTTATTAATTATTGATTAACATTTTGAAACTAAATGCTAATTAATTTAGATGATGTGACTATCTACATCAAATACCACCTAAGATGATATTATAGTACAAAAATATAGTAAGAATAGCATCAGAAGAAGGCCGGATCTTAAAATGAAGTTCACAATCTTGGGCCTAGGTCCAGTCCAATCTATCTAGAACCAACTCAATGGACATTGGAAAAACGGCTTTAGGTTTTTCTTCTTTGGGGAACCGAGCAGCCACCACCAAGGCCGCGAAAATCGGGTTTAGGGCTAAACAATTTTTTTTTCCTTTTCAAAATGATTACTCAACGTATATTCAGTGCCAAGAGAACAAAATGTTACTTCGTTGAGAGAAACTTACGTTTATTAGGAATGTTACTTCATTGAGAGAAACTTACGTCTATTGAGATTTTCATTTTGCAGTATCTTAAGTTAATTATCACATATATAATTTTTTCATATATTAATGTGCGATTGATTTGAGATACTGTTATAGTGATATTCTCGTTACATAAAAGTTTTTCTCCTATAATAATAATCTAAAGTAATGAAATATAAGTAAAGTGAACTATTATTAACACTTCATACTCAGATTGTGCACTCTTTATAAGAGTATTTTTTTTTTAAATATAAAAAATTTGTAATGCACAATTAGATTCTTGAAGTGCCAATAACAATTTCGATGCATCTTCTTCTAAATTTGCATTTGCTATGTGACTTCAAATTGAAGGGAATTGGTGGGTTCCAATAGGCATATGCAAAATGATGCACAACAAGAGCTCATGCATCTTCTTCTCAATTTCTATTTTGCTATGTGAAATTTTTTAGGGGTTTTTATTACTTAAAAGACAGAGGCTTAGTCAATTACACTTTGGAATTAAGAATAAATCAAATGCCCTCAATTATTGCACATAGCACAAATGTAGCAAACACTTTATAGATGTAGCAAACACTAATCTATAAAGGAGTCTAATTAGTGACTAAAGCAAATCCAAACCCTAGTTATTCCCTATTGTTTATCACACTAGGTCACTAGGTCTTCCTTATCTATAAGAGAGACGAGAAATTTTTTATCTATTCAGAATACAGGTGGTACACCACGTGTCATTATATAAGTGGAGGAAAATTTTATTTTTAATTGTTAATTTTTTAATATAAGTATCTCATTATTTGTATAATTACATATGATGTACCACCTTGTGTCCTGAATATACTGAAAAATCTCGAGAGAGATTAGCTTTGGATTATTGTTAGGATAGTGACATAATCAACAGTTTGTTCCACATTTTGGGTCTCCCACTAAGTGGATTAGTGGCTTCGGACACACAGATTCTCACAGACGGACGGTGCAAATCCACTCCCATAAAGAGGAGACCAGTTCTATTTTTCTATTTCCAAATTCCCCCCTTGGACTCGACTCCAAAAGATCCATCCACGTGGCAATATGTTAACTCATCTTTCCACCCATTAGTTTGATTAATAATAATAAACGAACCCTCACTTGTTTTACCAAATAAAGAAACCTAGATTTCGTGGAGTTCGATGATATTAAACGTTAGCGAGAACGTATTTGTTAGAGTAAGTGACTGATAATTTAACTGGTCAAACTGCTTTATTTAAGTTTTTTTCTTCTTCATTAAATGTTAAAAATAAACAAAATTAAAGTGAGTTTAGATTAAAAATTAACTACAGACGTATCATTTAGTGAATAAAACTCACTTTTTATTATGAGCGATATTTCGAACGCAAAACTCTCTCTCTTATCTTGAAAGGCTAATGTTGTGATTGATAGAAAGCAGAGAAAGAGTGATAATATTCTAAGAAAAAGATAAGCACACTTACCTCAATCAGAGATTAATAATGCTAATGGGGACCATTAGAGTTGTGATTCTTTCCTTCGTCTTCTTTGCGTTCCTCTTTTTCTCTTTATGATTTGAAAAAAGGATTTTTTTTTAGTCAATATGGTTCTTGAAATGGACATAACTCCTCATTTAAAATTTTTAATATTGAAAATCGATATGAGTGGTTCTTGAGTTTATGTACCGTAAATCATTTTGGTTATTCTGTGAATAATTTGTCAATGTCTTCGTTAAATTGTCATTAAATTGTCACGTGACCACTTTTTAAAGACTATTATTGTTAAACCAACATTTCCACTTAACAAGGATATTTATAGATTTTTAACGAAGTGACCATAATGATTTACTGTTGACAAACTCAAGAATCACTTATATCAGTTTTCGTTGTTACGAACCAAAATGAAGAATTATGTCAATCTCATAGACTATTTTGACTAAACAATCTTTAAAAAATTATGGATGCCACCAGCAACCTACCTAGCTCGTTGAAAGGTTCATACAATTATATATACACTTGTAGATGCATATAACAACACTCCCACTTTCATTGTAAGCCATCTAAGAAGCCCCCCCCTCTCTCTCTCTCTGTGGCTAAAGCACACACAAAAATGTGGAGGAAGAAGAGGAAGAAGATGATGAAGAACGTGAGTAGAACTTCTTCTACATGCTTGGTCAATCCCACCCTCTTCCTCCCTTGATGGGATGTGAAGGGACAAAAGGCAAGTCAAAAAGGCAAAGGGGAGGCAAAGCCTTTCTTCCGGTTTGTTATCGGCTAGCGATTTTAGTACTCATTTTGTAGCCTCTTGCGCTCCTCTCGTCAGTAAGGAGATAAATAATAACATATTTTCGGTTTGGAGTGCAAATGGCTAAAAGAAGAGTGTCAAAATCTATATGTTTTTTTTTTCCTCACATGTCGAACTCTTTATGTAATAGGATCTTTATGTAATAGTAG